GGAACAATATCATAATGCTCTGACTGTTATATGCTCAAGTGTGCCGGAATCCGGGGCGAACTTTATAAAGGATAAGCTACTAGCCGACAAGAAACAGGAGGATTTCCCGTGTCAATTAGCGGGGTTCAGGCCAAGGCAGTCTGTATGATGTGGCTCGTCCATCACCGACACTCCATAACCTACGGTAAACGACGGCTACTTCACGTAACACTGCTTTCAGCTAATGATGAGGAGATATTTCTCAAGACGGTCACTAGCCTCCATACCACCATATGCAGGGTTCGAATTTCTCAAAATGTACTCTGGAACGAACAACAGAAACGCAAACAAAATCCGGATGACTTAGGTAAACAACAAGACATTACATTTATCTTGGTTCGAGGTGTCCCTGTGCTTGACATTAAGCGGGCTGGGGTCCAAGCACTTGACCAAGATGAGTGGCTCTTGATTCGTTTAGTTCCCTCAGGCTAGAACCCTAGTGCTAATTTGACCTCAAAGTTACTGCTTTCAAATAACTAGAAATAATGTGGTCCCCGTGTGTTGGTTGCGACAATGCACGCCAATCTGTTGTCAAAACAAGTAACCAAAAGAAGACACAAAAAGCGCAAAAAGCTGCCATCCGAAATATGTATAAAGGCAGTAAACATTAGACCATACATAGACTAGGTATCACTGAGCAGGCAACTTACAAAAACCATCCAGTCACCATGCAGACCGGAAACGGGAACCCTCCAAAACATGGAAGCTGAAAGAGGAAGGATGGTTACCCTGTTGCTGGCAGGGAGTACACTAAACAACAAGCTGAACTGGTCTTAGTGCTTGCTCCTCCGTGAAAGAATCGACAAAAAGCCGATGCAGCAAGGGGCATTCCTTTTACAAATGGACTGATATATATTCGGGCCTGGCCCTAATCTAGCCTCGTCTGAGCAATCTCTATTCTGATTACATCCAGACATCTGAGAGTTAAAGGATGTACGCTCCGTAGTCTCAACACTCTGTGCCCCTAATCCTTAGTACCTTTTATGGTGGACCATATCCTT